CGCATGTCTCTGGAAGGGCCAACGCATGCGATATGACATGAAGACACGTCAGTTCCATACTTAGACTATATATCAACGCCTCTCTCACAGCATCGCGATACTTGACATGCCATCCTGTCGCGCTACCACGGCAAAAGGCCACCGCTGTCGCCTACCAGCGAGCCGCGCGAAAGTCGGGGGAAATGCTGAACTACTGAATCGTTGCAGGCACCACATTGGGCAACTGGAGGACTTCTTAGGATCGCATGTGGAGGGCAAGGAAAGTAAGGCTATAACCAACGAGACTAAACCAGATCGCCCCATTCTCCAGTCCTCAAGCCCTACTGCCGGTACTCAGATATCTACCAATGTAAGAAATGTTCGATCGACTTCACCACCAACTTCCCGACGAAGAGCGGCCGCGGCTGCACCAAGCACAAAGGCGCCTTATTCTAGTCCATCACCCCCCACGCCGCAAGCAAGACCAGCATCTTCGCACAAGCCGCCACTCATATCATTGCCCATTGATGTCGAGCTTGTACCCAGCACCTTCGGACTCGGCTCATCTAGCCCTCAATCAGCCAGCATCCGCCCCGGCCCATCTCCACCCGTCACCGATACCCTGCCAGCTCGACCAGAATCAGCGCCGTACTTCGCGACTCCGTCTCAAGATGAATCTATAGCCACATTACCGTCAACATCTTCTGAGATTGTCATCTACCTGGACTACCAACCATCAACACAAACGTACCAGCGCACCATCGCCCTGCACTCCCCCGAAAGCGATCATGAATATATGTCCAATGTCGATCGCGCACGACGCCATGGTTCTGCTCCGCCTGATGTCTCAAGGGGCTTTTGTCGCAAAAGGATCGATCCGCCGCTCCCTAGGTACACGACGCCCGTTAAGAAGCGAAATTTGAAGGGGATGAGCTGGTGGCAGGGTGTTCGTACGGTAATGTAGAGTATGTCAAATCGCTGAAATAGGGGGATGGAACCCGCGTTGAGAAGATTGGAACGCGGGTCTGAGGCATCGGGAAAGTGTGCTCGGGAGAGCGGAGTTTGTTGTATGGTAGTCATGATGATGTTGGGAGAAGGTGGAATCAGAGCTTGTATTGAAACATGCTTTTTCGTTTGCGGAACGCTCTGATATAACTTCTCGTGATGTGGTGAGGTTTGACATACGCCTTTAGCGATTATCTGTTACCATTGCGCCATGGTGGATTATCGTCTCTCGGATGTTAAACTTCTTTCACTACTTGCGCAGTCCTCGTTTGGTTCCCACGAAGCGCTCAATAAGACATGGTGCAACTTCAATCACGCGAATTACATACGGTTTTATCCTTCTCCGCCGCACGCTGATAGACAAGAGCGACATGAGCCCGCAGGAGTTCACATTTCACATCGAAAACTGCAGCTGCGTGGGAACAGTTTCAACGAACGACGATAGATGGATTTCGCTCTTTGAAATCAATGAAGAATGTTTCTGCCCGGATAAAACAGCGATGAGTTTCACAATACTAGGTTTGCACCTGGTGATTGCGGGCAAGAACACAATGGCATAGCACAACATGGAAAAGATCATCGCACCACTTCTCAATATCTAGAAGTTCTTAGAATACGCCTTTAGATCTGTTATGTTATAATGACGGTGGAAGGTGGTGTGCGCTAATTGTTGGTACTTTGGCCTAACTTGGTATCCCACGAAGCGACGGATTTACGATCGGCCTTCTGCACAGTGAACGTCTACCCTTGTAGACAGCAGATGAGATTTCTCATCAACGCATCAGCGCGCTCGAGATGGCCAATCTGACCTAACAGGTGTAGTGGTACTGCTCCGCCACAAAAAGCGCTGGGATGTGAGGACGACGTCTTGGTGCCTCGGTCGAGAAACGCGAGAACACGAGCGCGACACCTGATCACGCGAGCGACTTAGCCGTTTCAGGACTCGCGTGAGGATCCAGCGCTCCACAGTGGCCCCGTCTGCCGGAGGACTTTGACGTTTCGAGCCCAAGATGATTTGCGTCACCAACCCCGACCAGCGCAAGTGCAGCACCCCAGAATAATCATCGCGCCTTTGCGTCGCAAAGAAGGTATTTTAACTCAACGATACGACGAAGCGCGAACAGTTCAACGGCGTCATGAAGGGGCCGTTGCGATGGGAGCTGGCAGCGCCCTGTAAGAACCTATAGGCACCTCATTGCCGCCCACGTTGCCGCGCGCGCAGATACTAAGATCGGAAAGCGGTCAGAACCCCTGGAGTAGCGATATCATGGATTCGCATCTTCTTTGTCGACGATGGAAAGCATGAACCTGGGGCGGTGGCACCGCGGGGATATGGTTGGGGTTTTCACTGCGCCCAAGTCCCAAACAAGCTTGCACTACCGATTGTCCACAACGCACTGTTTTCAACTTACCCGGAAAGAACGCTGCCCACCAGCGAGCAAATCTCACGAAGATTGGACTCGTTACAAAAACCTCATATGCGTGTGGTTGCGCAGTGCGTATGAGATGCGTTTGGGACAGTCGAAAGCCGCTTGGTCAGGCACCAGATCATCATGAGCTTCGGCGTCAAGAAGCTGGGAGCCCCGGCGTGATGTCTTGGATTTGCCTCGCAGCGACGCGAACTTGAAGCCACTGAAGTCTCCGGATGCTTTTCCCTGGTAACGCATGCTCTTCGCTCGCCCAAGATCACCTCACTCAGTCGGCCAACGCACACAAGGTTATCTACGTATATCTCGCGACACCAACACGGCAGCGAGACATCGTAAACCTACCGTAACTACATTCTCCTACCACCTGGCGGCTGATTAGGGTAGTGCAATCATTTCCACGGCCTTTCGCTGTGGAGTCGCGTACTCTCGACGACTGCCTACCAAAATGCGCCGCGTTGCCGAAGCGCCTCTCGCTCGCTCGCTACTCCCACATAAAAGCTGCGCTGACGATAAATTTGTTTTCACCTCGTTTCGATTGACGCCGGCTTCCCTCCTGGCTACCCACGGCCTGTTGTCGCCAGACCCAGCATCTAGCCACCGACGAGGAACGTTCATCCAATAATCTGGGCATTGCAAAGTTGAGAAACCAACCACCACTGCATGTCTTCCCCGGGTGAGTTGTGTCGCTCACTTGCCTTCGAGAGCTGGAACCCACATCGGAAGAGGATGAAAGCGACGGGGGGTTCGTGGCTGGACGTGGTGCAAACGCGCAACAGCAAAACTGTCATGGCTCTCAATCCCGTTTGATCTGTGCAGTCGAAGTGATTCTACCCGGAGTGTTACGACACCTAGCAAAGTAGTTGGTGAGATGGTATCAGCTATTGGAGCGAAGATAGCTCTACAAATACAGCCATTCGCTTTCGGCGATCAGTACAAGCTGATAAGGGCGCTCGGGAACGGTCTGGGGCAGTGCACATAAACCGCAGGTACATTCTCTCTCTTGTCATAGTGCTGCAATACATCAGCTCGGCTACTTGCTCACGGGTGGTTGAGGCTGGCGCAGGCCTCGAACGTCGAGAACACAACGCATCGTGGAATGTGCGCATCTCCAATATCGAGCTCCAAGGGCGATACAATAACGCCGCGCATGATAGGCCATTAGCAAGGTCATGAAGCCCTGATCGCAGGTTGCTACTCGTTTGGGCCATCTTCCACGATATCAGACTGGAACGAGTGCGACTTCTCCGGCTTGGTCAGCGGCTGCATCTCCAATGGATTTATGTTAGTTCAAAAGTGCATAGAGAGCGACGTGATCCGCTTGGACGTACTCAACACCAACCGAAAGCATCGGCGGATGCGATTGTCGCTAGCTCATCTGATGTCGCATGACGCCAGGTACTGAACGCCGCCCGCCGCAATGTCACGCGTTAAGCGGCTTGGTGCGAGCGGCTGAAGCCTTGATTACAGCGTAAGCATGAACGGTGTTGAAGGACTATGCGAGCGCGCAAGTGATCGAACGAGAGCTGTTCGCATACCCCAAGTTCGTCTTGCTGCACTCGCGACACCAGCACGATCCAGTAGGAGAAGATGCCATACGCTTATGATTGGACAATCACTCAATATCGCATCAAGCTCTCCGTTTTGGTCATAATGGTGGTCCTCCACTGCACACGCGAACTCACCGGAGCGGCCAGAATTTGTGATGTTGGTGATGGCGTTGCTCTTGCCTCGCTGGACGTTGAGGTCCACACCCTGCTCCTGCTGCATCAGATCAGGCCACAGCTTTGAGCCACCCACCTCTTTCCAGCTCAACGGGAATGTTACTCGGGCAGAGATGTGTGCAAGGGCAAGCGGGCAGACAGTTATACCAGCTCGCAGTGCATTGCGTGCGAACAGGGTACTTGTGCACAGGTGGCTGCATATGGTCCGAACAATTCTCGAGTCGGTCATCGAACATGTTCAAACATGTCCAGTCAGACTGACGGCGCTAGGAGCGACGCACCCTGTTCGAGCCTCGTGTTCGACCATTGTGGAGTTTCGAATGTCTATTGATGGCCTCTTCGCTCTGGTCAGCGTTGGGGAGCAGGGTTGTCCGCGTAATGGTGTAATGCTCCTGTCTACTGCTATTTGATCTACTCCAGCTTGCTGGGCCGATAACACATGATGGCGGGCTTGCGTCTTGTGGTCTTTCACCCGAACCAGAGTAGGGGTTAAGATGTTGGTAGGTAGTCTTGTGGCGGTAGGCAGTGAGTTGCAGATTCAGTTTGGTCTTCTCTGTTTTGCACTTTTTGCTGCATGACCACAGGCTGCATCTCTCCTGTTTTGCTTTATCCATTGGAGTTTAGTGTGGACGTGCAATTTGAAGATGTCTTCCGTGCCTTCAAAGACGGTTGTGTGGTGGTTGCCTCCTGCCTCAAGGATGCAGCGTTCAGAGTCTGAGGCAGGAGGGCGTCACTTCCTTCCTCAACGAAGCAGATTATGGCGTGACGCATGAGCCCACACGTCACCATATGATGAGCAATTTCCGCGGGACGTACGCATTCTTCAGCACTACACTTCACTTCACCTTCATCACAATTCTTCACGATGGGCAGCTCTCTCTCCACCCCATCACAACCACCAGTCCCCTCCTACGCCCAGCAAACCCTCTCCACCGCTGCCAAGCGCAAGCCATCATCAAGACCGCCGACCCCGCCATTACGTATGTCATCAGCGCCGCACCCAAGCAGCAGCGTGCCGATGTCTGGGGCTGAGGGTGAGACCGAAGCCGACGTTGAGCGCGCACGACGAGCCTCAACACCACCACAGCAAGAGTCTTCATCTGCATTTGTTGATTGGCCTACGGGCATGGAGCCTTCACTTCTCTCGCCGATCCGGCGCACGTCCGAGGATGAGGACGAGGACGAGGATGAGGATGAAGAGCTTCCCCTCCCACCCTCCGATACACCACTACCACCCGATGATGAGGATGAAACCTCATCAGGTCTCTCGTCCCCACCACTATCATTGTCATCGCGATCGCCGTCACCGTCACCATCACCATCACCATCACCACCATCACCATCACCGTCATCAACATCATCCAAGAAGCGCAAGCCGAAGAAGCGCAAGACAGCCGCAGAGAAGGCTGCGCTGTGGAAAGCAAAGCAGGCTGCTGCGGATGTCACCAAAGCGACGCGCAGCAACGTCGACAGGGGTTTAGCCACGCTGGACTTGAGGAAGTGGGTTGGTCATGATGGCGCTGCTGAGACTCGGGTGAAGAGAGTGGGTGAGGATCTGGCGAAGGGTGTTGGAAAGCGACGTCGTCGCCGTTGAGCTAGAGGAGAATGAATGAACGACAATTCTTCTTGACATATTAACACTTCACAAATGTTGATGCTATCCTTGATTTCTGCCAACCGCTCCTCGGGCTGACTCATGTCTCAATCACTTCCTTGTCCGTCCCCTGATTACTCAACGGTACTTGGAGAACTGGAGTATTGCGAACTTGATGCACATATATTAATCGTGAAGTCTACACTCTTCACCAAACAGACTCACCCTGAGTCGGTCCACTCTCTACTCTCCTCCAAACACCAATTACTTACTAGGCCCTCAGCACGTATACTAGAACCAGATACATCAAATATGCAGGACGAAGATGGACTTGATATCTGAGAGGGTGGCGCAAGATTTCAGATGAGAAACGCATCCAGCTACTGCGGGCACGAGTTTGAGTGTGTACAAATATCACAGCATGAGGTATGCAGGCGGCCTCGATCTACAGCACTGTGTGTGGCGGCGATCACGAGCCTGCGCCCGCCAACTCCCGATCGGTGTTCATGACGATACTCGAACCGCTCACCTGTCTTCATACAGCCTGTCAAACCCAACGATCAGAATCGTACCACCGCGCATGTTGATCTTAGTCTCGCGGAGCGACCAGAAGGCTCCACGCAACACAATGCCTTCAATCTGACCGGGCTGATGCCGGGCACGTAAGATCACTCTAGTTATAGATCATGCATTCAAACATGTAATACCGAGAAGAGACGAATGCAGATGTGCATTGAAAGCCGCGGGAGCAGATGTGATGTTCACTTTAGAATCTTGTAGAGGCGGCAGAGCGGTGTTAAGTCCCGCTCAGCCCTTTGGCGTAAAGCTAGAGAAGAGGTGGATGCAACCACAATCGCGGGGATAATAAACAAGAGGAAGACAATTCCTATGCACTCCTGTAGTATATCTCATCGCATAGTCATCGGGCCGGTTGCACATAGCTTCTAGAATCATCTGATGTCGGCGTTGTTCGCATTTCGCCGGTCTCTACCAGCGCTCAGAGGATATATCCTTCACAACTCAACGTATGTTCTTTTTAACGGGGCAGAACGTATACCAATACAGTTTGACAGAGCACTAACGTTCGATATGAGGTTCTCTAGTGACTGTGGTATTGATCGCATTTAGAAGTTTTCACAGGCCGTATCGTACTCCGGCTTGCCTCCCAACGCCAGAGCCGCAAAAACCACATACTCTAAGACCACGAGACAACTCAACCAGGCAGAATGAACACAAACGTCTGTGATTGTTATTGCTGCAACCTGAACCTGAGCTCTGAGCCGTTCATGTGCAGCCATAGAAGTTTGTTCGAATTTGATAACGTATTCTTTTCTGATTGCATAAATCCCTTCACAAAATGCTATGGAGCACTTACGAAGTACCACAGAGCACCTCAGTGTGCTCTTGCGGAGAACCACTGCATTACTGCGAACCCGAAAGCCAAGCTTGGCGTCCAAGATGAAGTCGAAATAAAGTGCCGATGATGCTGCCCTTCATCCGCAACCCCGTTCTTCGCATAGCGCCTGAGTACCCTTTGAAGTTTAGTCTTCCTGGTATCGTGCAAGCCCTTTACAGGAGATATGCTAGCTTGACGCGGACTATATAACACGTCTGCGATCGGAACTTGATGTGCTCGCAAAGAAGATGGTGATGTCGCGCCCTGGACACAGAGACCGAGGCATGGACAGACTGATATGTGTTGTTCGGGGACCAGATGCGAGCATGGAGAGCAGGTCTGATAGCATGCTCTTCAGTCGGAGTTGGCGCCCGCTAGAGAAAGACGTTTTCGTGGCACGGCAGCGTCGCTATGAACGCTCGCAAATGACGGGGCCAAAGCTTGGAACGCATTGGACGAAAGCAGAGCGGGCTTCGAAAATGAGTAGAATCGAGAGCATGAGATACGAATCTGCCTACGCTACGGGATGTATCTCTACACGCGCGCATACTCTACGCCCGCCATAGCTGCAGCCTACCCACCCGTCACTACCTCCGCAGAACCTGTCATCCCCCTACAGCAGCAGCGGAAGCAAAGACTTCTTTCGACCCCCTCTCTGGTGGTGCGGTCGAACGAAGTCCAGCGTTAAGTGCCGCGCAAGTGCCACGCGCGAGCAAAAGGCTGCCCTGCCATATTTGCATCGTAACGTGACTACAGTTACTCACGATCCGTGTCGCCCACGAATGTCCATTCCACTCCAACAGTAATGTCCCTGACACTTGTACGTCTAGTGTCGACCAGCTAGGTGGGGTGTTCGTTGTGGCTCGGGCGAGGAAGCTCGACAAGGAGGCTTAGTATAGCAATCGTATACGCGATCGAGTGTAGGGGAACGGTGGTCTGTCGGTGCCATGGGGTCATGTGAAAGGCGGTCGCATACGTATCGTGCTATCGTGTTGCTGAATGTTAATATCGTAGTCGTTGTGGCGCGACCAATCTCGTCGCAACAAGCGAACTGAGACGTGTTCCTGACAGCATTGGTCAGATGTGTTTACCTTTGGCCGTCTGGCTCCGCATCAGTCCTCCCCAGACCATGAGCTTGAGACTTTTTGTAACTTGTCCTGCTTGTCTATACTTGCGTGTGGTTGGACTCCATTGGACCGGTGGCAGCTGCGAACGTTTGACACACCGAGCTGCAGTCGCCTCGTATGCGCTTGCATCGTCCTTGTGTGCTGTATATTGATAAAAGGCCCTTGCCGTCCTATCATTTCCCTCAGCTCCAGCCAGTGACGTCGTAGATGGGGGAGCGAGAAGTCGCAGGCTCGTCATTGACGGCTAGTGTGATCGCTGGGTCGCTGGGCCGCCGGAAAATGTGTCCGTGTTTGCAATGCCTTCAGTCGGGGTCTCAGCATGAGAAACAGCGCGAATCCTCCCGGCGCTGCCACCTGCGCCAAAGACTGTAAAAGCCGAGATACCGCGTTCAATCAACGGAGTCGGCACCGGCTGAAGCAGTCGCCCACTTGGTGATCACTCTCCTGGGCTTTGGGTTTCTGGTATTGTAGCAGGCGGATGGAGGAGACGGAGAAGTCGGTCTGGTCGTCCACGCTTTCCGATGAAGCGGTGCGGGCTGCAGTGATCGCGGCGCGGAAGGCACGAAGTAGTTCCTCTTGTTCGACCGCGCTCGATGCCTGGTTTCTTCCTGCTCAGGCATCTAAAACAGCAGCCGTCGCGCGCGCATGTAATCCGTTGTGGGCCGACGCTCACCTCCTCGATCTACCGCCCACGAACCCCATGTGTTTGTCGCGTGGGACGCCAAATGACCCTGTCTGATTCCATCGCATCGGTATTGAGGACGATCCGCTTCTCGTGGAGGAGTAATCGCGTTTGATGGTGGCAGTAGTGGCCGCAGACGTGGGTGAGGGGCCTCGCATCCAGACGCCAGGGCAAGGTGACACATGTGCCATCTGGAACACGTGATATGGCGTAGCGGCTGCAGCGCATCTTTGGTGCGTTACGACGAACGAGTGGGGGAGCTCGTTTGGAGGTGGTAGGAGAGTGCGTGCGTAGGAGGAGCGTCGCGATCGTGGGTGTTGTTGGTGGAGAGCCGCATCTTGAGACGAGGATGTAGGTTTGTTGCGCGTGTCTGGAACTGTTAGAGACAATCCCGAGGGGGTTGGAAGAAGTGTCGTAGAAGTGACTGACCACTGATCGAGACTGCCGTGGACATCCTCGCGACCAAGTTCACTCAGCTAAGAGATCAGCGACGCGCAGAGACCATGGGGCCTCGGGTGTCGCGCTAACTACCTCGATCGTCATTGGGCGTGTTGCGGATGAAATTGGTGTATAGGAATGGTGAAATTGGGTTGTTGGGAGCGATGCGACGCGAATGACTGACCGGGCGGGCGGCGCTCCCAGCTATCCTCATGGCGGGAAAATCTGACCATAGTCGTGGCCTCGAGCCCAATTCTTCAGGTTGCGCCATGCGAGACACTGCGAGATGCAGGAATGTAGCAGCCGAGCACATCGCTTCCATATTGGGATGGATAAGGGACAGTGTATGGGGGATGGTGAGGCTGGGGTGTTTGAGGTGTCCGCATAATTCGGGCACGTGTTGCTGCGGAGGTTCCCAGTCGCTGATTGGTTGCCGCGGCACCCCCGAGCCGAGTACTCTTCGCCCATGCCAGAAACCCATCTCAGCCAACATCATCCATCAATTTCCAGACTCCGCGCACCAGTTCCATTATTTGCATCAACAGCTTGAGCGACCAGGTAAGAACTATTCGACAAGAACGTAACAGGCACTCAACCTTTTGATGATGTCGACGTGTTATACTGCGCCGTTCGGAATACCGGATTAACTCGAGCTGGACCGAGAGATTGGACAGCATGGGACTCGTAGATATTCCCCATCTCGATACCGCTGTCTCTTCTCTTCATCAAGCCTACAGTGTTGCTGATACAGTCAGCCTCGCAGCGCTACTTTCACCTTCATAGGCTAGCAGATACAATGAGGGTCGGCATCTTCAAACCTTTGGAGGTAACTTTGCTGACAAGCCACAACGGAAGCTCAGCCACCGACGGTGGCATGTTGCGGGCTGTTAACGTAGTGCCTAACGCGAGCCTAGATATCCTGGAATGCTTTGAGGAGGTTATAGATTAAGCTATGTAATAGGCCAGATGATGGGAGTGGCTTTCCTGATACCTCTACTGATGCGCTGTTACCGGCCTTTTTGATGTTTTACAACAACATCGTCCTAATGGACGGACGGCGCGTTCAGAACTTTGCAGAAATGAACATGAACAGATCGGATGGCACATATATCGTCGCAATATGAAGCATGAAGACATTCTATACACTCGGCGCGCACGAGGTCGAAGGGGGTGTTGGTGTTGCATGGCTCGAAACGGACGGCGGATCGACGACCCACAACTCCGGGCCATTGTTGGATCTTTCTGCGAGAAGATATTCTCCAGTAAACCCTGGCCCCCAACCCTACGTGGGGTCGACGAGCTTATCGCGGTATTATAGTATCAATCTAAAGGGTTTATAGCTCCATTCTTCCGTGAC